AAAAAAAAAAAAAAAAAAAAAAAAAAAAGAACAGGAACAGTGATTGCAAGAGGAGGCTGGAGCAACTGAATCACTGCAAGGTGAGATGGGAGTTTGCGAGTCCGCCAGCAGAGCACGGAGGAGCACGAAGATGTCTGACTGTGGCGGCACCACCTGGAGGACCAGGCCGAGTGCAGAAGGGACTGACCAGGGACGGGCAGGCAGGGGCAGATGTAGAGAGCTCAGTGGGGGCGACTCAGTGTTTAAGTCAGAGAATCTGGGGCTCAATCCCTCGTTTCACTGCCACTCACAGCAATAGCCAAGTAACCCTGGACAAGCTAGCAGACCCTTCTGGCCTCCTTTCCAAAGGAGGAGGATATTCCCACTGCAGCTCACATCCACTTCAGATCTTTCCAATCCCCTCCGCTATCTGATCACCACCCCCTTGAAGCCCACAGAAAAATCAGACACTCTTCATCTTCCAATTGCCTTAACAATGCCTGCCCAAGGCTTTTCTCTTCCTATTTATTCACTTAGCAGTAAGTCATGGATCATCGTGTTATCCCCATCCCACTGCTAACTCAAACAAATCGAACTTTTTTTGTTTTTAAATTAAAGTGAGCCCCCTGAGGACATGGCTGTGTCTCACTTTTTACAGAATAAAACCAAAAATATTTCCTGGGGACTTATCCTGGACCAAGCACTGCGCATGAAAGATTAAAGCAAGCAGGGCCCTTATGTGGGAGGTACTGAGCGTAGTTGGGTGTGGGGGGGTAGAAGTCCCTGCAGTCAAGGCTCGAGCGCGGGGCATGCAAGAAAGGGGAATGAATGCACCTGCTGCGGGACTCAGGAGAGATCGGTGCTGTATCTTGTAGGCTTTCTTGACATTGGGAGAAAGGCGAAAGCAGGAAGGGGTGGGGCCCAAGAAGAAAGGAAGGGGAGGCTGCAGCCCTGGCACAGGGAGATACTGAATTAAGGTAACTGAATCGCAAGGTCCGCTTTAGGATGGGAGGCGAACAGAGAAGGCATGAGCTGACATCACGGATCTGTAGCAGCTGACCCCGAACACCCGGTGTGCATCTAGAGCAGCGTCCACTCGCCCAGCAGCAGGCGACCGGCTGCCCCGCAGAGGACGCCAGCGAGCACGCAGGTCGTGCAGGGCCCGCCCAGGGACTAGAAGGTCGAGCAGCGCCCCGCGTCCCCCGTCGGAAACACCGGGCCCCCGCGGAGGGCGCTTCCGTAGAAACTGAGGTCCA